CCTGTCATCTGGCTTATTTAACTGTCCAACACACAAACCCTACAAAACAAGCAGAATCCTTTAGAGACCCAGATAATCTGTGTAAGTTTTAGAACTGAAATAGGTATCACCAGGATTGTAACAATCATCTTTTTAATGAGCGTGTTTGTAATGAAAGACCTATTTTTTATAATAGAAAGAGCCAGTACTCTCACTTGGCAAAGCTTTTAGAGTGGTGTCCATCTATTCTTGAAGGAGGAGGATCAGAATGATGTTGGAAATAACAAACAATAACAATGAGTGCTCCTGCTGTAGTGTTGTGACAAAAGGTTGACAGGTGTTTGGGAATCAGTGGAGAGAATTACTCTGAGAAGCTACAGATCCTAAATGTATTTTATCTAAACAAAAAGCTATTTGATTTCACTGTGTCTATTCAATCAAAGTGCATGGCAGTTTCAACCAGAAAAATATATGGGGCGGTGGGGGGAGGGAAATAAATGTTGAAGAGCAGCTAACTTTGTATCTTAAGAATTTTAAAAAATAGTAAAAACAAAACCATTAGGATAGATCTTGTTAACAAGGATTTGTTACTCCATTTCTTCTTTCATGCTATGTTTGCAGCCTCCGCCATTTGTAGAGTAAGTTTGAACTACTCATCTAACACCTACTCATCTAACACATCACACAAAATGCAGGGAAGCATTTGTTAAGGATGAATTTGAGCAACAATGTTCAAACATGGCAGCGAAGGGCACGTGGCTAGCTTGTGGACAATACGAAGAGAAAGGAATGCTTAATTTTTGAACTACCATTTCCTCTCATATTTTGAATTCCACTAGTGCAATGTATCAAACTAACTTAGTTCCCAAAGCCAGAAATCCTGGAGTTATCCTTGATTCAGAGCTTGCTTTCTTCCTTCTGCCTCGCTTGTTTGTAACTCTGCCTGCCGCGCCTCTGGAGAGTTTGGCTACCTTTAACCCGCCCCTCCTAAATTTCTTATTCTTTCTATAGTCTATGCCTGTTTTGACTATTGTGACTTCTTAAGTTCCTTCTTGCAAGACCTTAATTGCATCTCTTTGCTTCTTGTGGGGCCAGATTTCCCAGTGCTCCCAGCACCCACAATTGGGGCCAGATGCTCAAAAGAGCTCGGCACACAAAGTGTAGAGGTCTCTTGAAAATCTGGCCACTTATTTTGGGTGCCTAAACGGAGGCTGAGCTCTGTTGAAAATCTCTCCAAGCCTCTTCACTTCACAGCCCTGAAACGTCATTCCTTAGCTTCATCTTTGCTTTTCCATCCCCACTTCATCCTGGTGCTTTCCCCTCCAGTCCCACAGCTAGTGATGGCAGGTTCCTGCTCTTTGTTCACAAACGTGGGGATGGAGTGGAGCAAGGATAGCGTGGATAATTGTAAGGGTGTAGCTGAATGACCCGAAGGAGTGAAATGTTGTGAAGAGGCTTGTCGATTTCAGTGCATGGGTCTGTACCATGACTAGTTCTGACTGCAGAATGTAGGAGGAAAGGTCTATTCTTCCTGTTCCATGTTCAACGGGCAGGTGGTTTCTAACCCTCAGAGGAGTCAGGTGCTCCCAATCGGAAGAATGAAGGCAAACAACCAAACTAGCATTAAGATTGTTGGTGTGCCGGCAACAAGATGGAGTTTGATAAATTTAGAAATGAGATTATATGATGGAATTGCCTGCATCAGCAAGAGACCGGATTCAGTGATCCAGGAGGTCCATGCCAGTCCCTTGCCGCTAACTCATATCGCCCAACTATTTCTGCTATGTATCTGATGTGACATTTATACACTCTCTTAGAGGCTTTATGGACATGGACCAAGAAAAATTCAATCGCAGATTAAGGGATATATAATTTTTGGGGCATTTGCTAACTGAATCCTCTCTCCAGCTTTTTAAAAGATTTTATCTCTAGTTACTCCTAGAAGAATCATTTACAAGTGAACAACTAAGAAAGTGAATGCTGCTCCCTTCCACAAGTGTATAATAGACTATCGCCCCGTATTTTATCATCCATTTTCAATTAATTCATTAAAAATATGCATAGGGCCAACTTTGTCCCTCCTGAATTGTGTATAGTTAAGTGAAGCTGCATGCCTGGGTGTAAGAGCAGAATTTGGCTCACCCTTAAATATGCTCAGGTGACCTATTGTATGAAAGATCATGGTTCAATACATTTGAATTCGATCCTGGTTTTATTTAATCATGTTGCTGGATTTAGAGTGTAACAGGTATATCCAGCTCCATGCAAAGATTTTTTTTCCTCCCAGCTATTCAACTGATAATGCTAGTGCTGCTAACACGCAGTTGAGAATGGGCTGCTTAGTTGGCTTATTATCTAAAAATCATTACTGTTTGCTGCCGATGGAGTAAGCTCCCAGGTATTCTCACCATCCTACAGGTACTCTATTAGCTGCTTCATGAATTTAAATGACATTTAAGATACAAATCCAAAGAAGCAATTAGTAACTTTTGATTCATGTTTTACCAGCTGGCTAGATTAAATCTGATCAATTTTATTTTGGGCAGATAAGAATTCTGATGGAAGAAGAGTTAGAAAAATCAATGCACGCAAAATAGCCAAATAGATTAAAAGAGTAATTAACTTATTGATTAAAATGTTAACGGTAGATAGCAAATGCATCTCTGAATCCTCTGTTAGGGTGGAACAGAAAACCAGGTGAGCACAGTATAATTGTACTTGAATTATCCAAGTAAAGATTCAGCAGTACCATACATCCATGCTCACGTTTTCTGCTGCTGTTGTATACAGGGTAGATATCAATATATGTGCTTCGTAGCCCAAATAACCAAAAAATGATGAAGGTGGATTCAAAGAATAAATTTAATACAGATTATTAGATATGTTAAAATGGCTAAAAAATTTTTTCGGAGAGTGAGGGGTGGGGAGGTAGTTGTATACTCATCCCTGCCTATATTTCATCTTGTTATTATTCAGGTTTTGCAGGGGCCTTGGGCATGGATGCCATCTTGGTCTCTCCTGTTCTCTCTGTGTGCACACAATTTAGTTAGACAAAGTCTTTGGGCTAATATAGGTGTATCTAGGTGAAAACTAATGGTCTGTGTTATACAGGACGTCAGTAGGATTGCCAACTTTCTAATTCCAGAAAACCGAACACCCTTGCCCCACCCACTGCCCTGCCCCACCCCATCCCTGAGGCTCCGCCCCAGCCCCGCTCACTCCATCCCCCCTCCCTCACCCTTGTTCACTTGCTCATTTTCACTGCAGGGCCCAAACAGGCATATTTATTGTTTTGAGAGATATATTATGCTAAGTTCAGGTTTTATTTGTTACAGGATGCTACAGCTGGCAGCAAAATAGTCAAAAAGGGTAATTTAAAAAAAACAAAATTTCACAAAGGTTTTCATGATTCTTTCCCTCCCCTCTTCCCGTTTTTTATAACCAGCTCCATGTTTTTTATTCACTAAAGTTATTGTAATTTTATGTGTGGAATTAGGACCACACATTATCAGAGCTGCAATGGGTCCATTAAAGGCCCACTCCTGAAGCCCAAATACAAATCCATAGAGCACAGCCACAGAAATGCACACCTGTCCAGATAGCTGTATAAATAAATCTGTAGAAACTGACTCCCACACCTACATGCGGATACACACGTGTATTCATGTGTACACATCTAGCATGCACTAACACATATACTTCCACATTATTTAATATTACAATTGTTGTTTAGTGTCTAGAGACCTCAACTAAGGTCAGGGCTCCAGGGTGGTAGGTGCTGGACATACACATAAAAAGAGAGTCTGCAACAGAGTTTGTAATGTCGCTAGACAAAGGTGGGGAGGCCCTCTCTGTCCCATGTGAATTTTTTCCTGTTTATATATTTATTAGAACTGGTTTAAATCTTTTAATGAAGTTTTTTAGTATAAAATGAAAATTTTCACCATATTGCTTTGGATTAAAGTATTCAGGATTTCCTCAAACTGGTAAAACCTCAACTGGAGTACTACATCAAGTTCTGGGCACCACGTTTTGGGAAAGCTGTAGACAAACTGGAGGAGGTCCAGAGGAGAGCAACAAAAATGATTAAAAGTGTAGGAAACACAACCTCTGAGGAATGATTGGAAAAAAAAAACCTGGGTTTGATTAGTCTGGAGAAGACTGAGGGGGGACATGATACAGTCTTCAAGTATGTAAAAGGTTCTTATAAAGAGGAAGGTGATGTATTATTCTCCTTAACCACTGAAGATGGGACAAGAAGCAATGGGCTTAAACTACAGTAAGGGAGATTTAAGTTAGACATTAGGAAAAACTTCCTAACTGTCAGGATAGTTGAGCATTGGAATAAATTAGGTAGGCAGGTTGTGGAATCTCTGTCATTGGAGGTTTTTAAGAACAGGTTAGACAAACCCCTCTCAGGGATGGTCTGTCTTAGTCCTGCCTCAGCTCAGGGGAACGGACTAGATGATCTATCAATCTCCCTTACAGTCCTATGTTTCTATGACTCTGTGAAAGTTTTGGTTTAAAATGAATTTTGTCTGTTTTTGGCTGTCAAAAACAAAATTTAAATGAAAACCCACACATTTTTTTCTTCGGGAATACAAATCTTTTTCTCAACCAGTACTAATATTTGCACAATAATTCCTGGCGCTGGTGGACAAATGGTGCTGTGTCATATTGCTAACTGGTGTGTGCCATTATCTTAGGGCTTATTTGCCTGGCTCAGAGTTGTTGGAGCTGCTTTGCTTCCTTCATTCAACCCAAAACAGTGAGGCAAAATGAAAGAACGCTTAAAATGTTGCACTGTTCTTTTTGTATCCTATGCTGGTCCTTGACATCAGTCCACACGTGGTCACTTGTAGTTAAAAAGTAATTATTGGAGAAATCTGCCGATGAATGATCGAGCCACTAGTTTGCTGCAAATGGCTAGATTCAATAATGTCCTTTAGGCACGTCTCATAGCAGCATGTGTGTAGGCAAGACGTTGATGTTAATTTGCTTTACTTCTGTTTATCTTGAAGGCTGGTGGGATAGCTGGTGTGTGCGTTGACTTGATATTATTCCCTCTGGATACCATAAAAACCCGACTGCAGAGTCCCCAAGGATTTAAGAAGGCTGGTGGCTTTCGCGGCATCTACGCTGGCGTTCCTTCTGCTGCTGTAGGATCCTTTCCGAATGGTAAAAACTGTGTGGATTGTACTTGTGTTAATTCCTGGTCTTCCTCTAGGGGAACGGCATAGTCAAGTCTGTCCTTTCTCTGTCAGGCTCCGATCCTGCTAGCAGCTCCACATAGGACCCCCTGTTGCAGTTATGAGGTTTTGTGTGGGTGCAGGGGTCCAGCTGGGTGGGGCTCTGTGTGCACCATTGTAATGATGACCCCTAATGTAGACTTGCTACATTGCACTGTACCTGAGTAAATCACACCATTGCATGCCCCATTTTGCACTGGGGCAGTGTGCCAATATTAGTAGATTGCACCAGTGTAACTAAATCAATGCAATCACACTGGTGCAAAGTTATGTAATGTAGGGTTCCAAAAGATAAATCCCCCCTCCCCCATATATATTGTTTCTCTTTGCAATTTTATAAATCTGCAAATGCTAACTACTGGTGGTACTGCTTTGTGTTTCACAATTCAGATTCCTATGCACCATCATGGTGACGCCACCGTGTCCAGATACTCTTCTGGAAGCCGTGATGCTATTCTTTTCATCAGCTCTTCACTTAAAAATCCAATTTTTGGCTTTACACTGTGGAAGCTGTTCCCCTTCCCTTCCATCTCTCTCTTGCCACTTCCATCCTGTTTCCAGCAGCGCCTACAATGTGCTAAGCATTGTCCAAATATAAAAGAAGGCACAAGTCCCCATCCTGGAGACTCTTGCCTTTAAATCCTGGCCATGTCTGACTGCAGTGATCATGAATATGAATGCTCCAAGTGTTACCTGGGGTTCTTTCAACCCAAAGCTCTTGGTATCTTTTACTCTGTGCGAGGAGGTGTCAGGAAATAAATCAGGGGAGACACGGCTATCCGACCGATAGATGGCTGGCACAAACAGGACAACACAAGAGTGCTTTCACTTAAAGCTAAACTTTACTTAGACTCAAGCACTTACACACGTCCGCAACAAGATTAGTAAAACACCCCCAACCTTTGATAATTACCAAAGCTGAGTGTGGCTCTCGAGTGGCACAGTGGCAGCCCGTCTGCCGGTGGGGATCACAAAATGCATCCAGAGGGAGAGACCGGTCCCGAAGGGTATGTCTACACTACGAGGGTAATTCGATTTTACTTAAATCGAATATGTGGAATCGATATTGCAAAGTCGAACGTGTGTGTCCACACTAAGGACACACTAAGGACAGTAATTCGACTTTGTGAGTCCACACTAACGGGGCGAGCGTCGATATTGGAAGCGGTGCACTGTGGGCAGCTATCCCACAGTTCCCGCAGTCCCCGCTGCCCATCGGAATTCTGGGTCGAGCCGCCAATGCCTTCTGGGTAAAAAAAATTTGTCGTCATCCGTCCGTCACTAACGCCCTCCCTCCCTCCATGAAAGCGCCGGCGGGAAATCAGTTCGCGCACTTTTCTGGTCAGTGACAGCGCGGACGCCACAGCACTGCGATCATGGATCACGCTGCGACCATCGCTGCACTTGTGGCCGTTCTCAACACCTCGCAGCTTATCATACACCTTTCCCTGAGGCAGATGCAGAGAAATCGGGCGAGGAGGCTACGGCACCGCCGTGAGAGCCTGAAGTCGGAGAGTGGCACAGAGCTGTCAGAAACCACGAGCCCCAGCGCCCAGGACATGACGTTGGCAATGGGGCATGTGGATTTTGTTGAACGGCGATTCTGGGCCCGGGAAACAAGCACGGACTGGTGGGACCGTATAGTGCTTCAGGTCTGGGATGAATCCCAGTGGCTGCGAAACTTTCGCATGCGGAAGGGGACTTTCCTCGAACTTTGTGAGTTGCTGTCCCCTGCCCTGAAGCGCAAGGACACCCGCATGCGAGCAGCCCTCACTGTCCAGAAGCGAGTGGCCATAGCCCTCTGGAAGCTTGCAACGCCGGACAGCTACCGGTCAGTCGCGAACCACTTTGGTGTGGGCAAATCTACCGTGGGGGTTGTTGTCATGCAAGTAGCCAAGGCAATCGTGAAGGTACTGCTCCCAAAGGTAGTGACCCTGGGAAACGCGCAGGTCATCATAGATGGCTTTGCCGCGATGGGATTCCCAAACTGCGGTGGGGCTATCGATGGGACTCACATCCCTATCCTGGGACCGGACCACCAGGCCAGCCAGTACATCAATAGAAAGGGCTACTTTTCAATGGTGCTGCAAGCACTGGTGGACCATCGGGGACGGTTTACAAACATCTACGTCGGATGGCCGGGCAAGGTTCATGACGCTCGCGTGTTCAGGAACTCTGGTCTGTTTAGACGGCTGCAGGAAGGTATTTACTTCCCAGACCACAAAATAACTCTTGGGGATGTGGAGATGCCTACAGTCATCCTCGGGGACCCAGCCTACCCGCTAATGCCCTGGCTCATGAAGCCCTATACTGGCGCCCTGGACACAGAAAAAGAACTGTTCAACTACCGTCTGAGCAAGTGCAGAATGGTGGTGGAGTGTGCTTTTGGCCGTCTCAAAGGGAGATGGAGAAGCTTACTCACTCGCTGTGATCTCAGTGAAACCAATATCCCCATCGTTATTGCAGCTTGCTGTGTGCTCCACAATCTGTGTGAGAGCAAGGGGGAGACCTTTATGGCGGGGTGGGAGCTAGAGGCAAATAGCCTGGCTGCTGATTACGTCCAGCCAGACAGCCGGGCCATTAGAAGATCCCAGCGGGACGCCCTGTGCATCCGGGAGGCTTTGAAAGCTAGGTTCCTGAGTGAGCAGGGCAACCAGTGACTTTTCAGTTTGTGGACAGAAAAGCTGAACCTGCCCCCGTTTCTTTACCCAGTCCATTTTGACTATCCTCTCCAGTTACATACAACCTTCACCCCCTTCCCCTTCCCAAAAAATAAAATCATTTCGATTTTTTAATGAACACCGTTGTCTGTATTGCTGTTTTCGCGGGAATATTTTAAACCGGGGACGCAGACTGTGGCGGGGGGCGGGTTTAGTGTTCTGATGCAAATGATACTTCTAAACTCCCGGAATGACAGGCTCCGCACTGGTGGACTGGTTATTTCAATGGAGCCTGCCAGCACTCCTGGGGGGGACTGTGTGTATGTGTCGGCTATGTGACTTTCTGGCAGGGGGGGTAGGGTTACAGATCCCCTGCTGCGTGGATCTGTGAGCCAGGATAAGGACCGCTGCATAAGATCTGTAACTGCCCTCCCCCGCCACAAAGTCACAGAGCAACCCCCC